GAATTTTTGTTTTAAGCAAATATTGTCGTCAGGTGACAGCTGCGTATGTCCCCAAATAAGTAACATTTTTAATTTTTTGGCGTTTTTGATATAAAATCGCGTTTTCTGCCCTAGATTTTTGTGCGTACTTTAATTCTAGACCAAAAACTTGCAATTCTGTAAAGCCAATTAAAAGATCCATCGAAAAACGATAATGTCGGTAAATCATACGGCTGCAGGATCCCCTTAATAACTAGTTTAAGAAGTAAACCACATCAAAAAAATTTAGACTTAAGCGATGAGACGCAAGAATTACTTTGCTCTTATACGTAAATTAAATGTAAATTAAATTTTTATTTAATTTCAATCAAATACTTGTTCCTATCATCAATTTTTAATAAATATACACTTTTGCAATTTTTATAAGTCAACATTGAAAGGTTCTATGATCATTCATTGCATATTTCACAAGTAACATAATTTTTTCCGCGATTCGCGCAAACGGCTCCACTGTGCGCCGCGGCCGCAGCAGGGTCTCTAATCCCCTAGCTGTAACTGGCTAGTTCGGACACGAACCATTAGCACGGACGCAAACCATGTGCGGTTACCGAGCGAAACGACGTAGTTGATGCGCACTTTCTCAGGCGGCGCGTCGGAAAATGCGACACAGAAAAATTGACGAAAAATGCCGGGATGGCCTCTCTCAGGTTTCTCTCTGGCTAAAGTATTGTCAACTCACGAATCAGCTGATTGACTGGACCTGTCAAACGCGTTCTCTTTCTTTCTCATGTTCCACGAAAAAAAATGTTGCGTCATTGTTTACCGCAAATTTGAGAAAATTGCAGCGCGAATCATGCTTTGTGTGTCACTCGTGTGCAAATTCGAAAACGTATCGTCGGTCGATCGCAATTATATTTCGCGGCCAACGTGATTACGTCAGGGGAACGAGAAAATATGCTGACATATATTCACTCACACAGCCGCACACGTGAGTATACGTATGTGTATGTATACAAACAATTTTCCAGCAAACTAAGGAATGATACTCGAGGATACTCATACGAAAGACATTAGTGAGCATATCGCAGTTGCTTATCTACAGTTCCTAATTATTTTCATTAAACAAAGCGACTTTCAAGTGTCAATGAATGCTCTTGCGGACCGTATTATCAAGCATTCGTTACCGCGTTACCGCATAGAGAGTGTTCGGTTTTTGATGAATATTACGGAAGATAATGGACCGAACTATCCCAGAATGGAGACGTTATTTACTCGTGCAGCCGCCTATAGTACTGCTACTACTCGCCTTGTCGATGTCAGGTAATAAATCAATCTCTTGTTGTTAGTACAACGGCTATATGCGTGCATTTTTTTGCAGGTACTATCTTGACAGATCTGATAGTGTATCGTACGTGCACCACAACGTTGAAAATAAACAAAACGGAGTGCCTGATACTCTATAACAATAGCAGCAGCCAGGAGGCACTCAGAATCAATTCCATGGTTCAACCATATGCAAGTTTAATTGTGATGGGTAAATCCTTTCTGGACAGTATTTCTCCGTCAATCCTGTCGTTATTTCTAGGACCATGGAGTGATAAGTACGGAAGGAAACCTGTTCTGCTTTTAGGATATATAAGTAATCACATTTTTATGACGAGTATGATTGTAGAGCTCAAGAGCTGTAGAAGAAGCTTCATTGCTTCTAGAAATATTATTCTATTGAATTACAATAATTGATTGTTACTATAGAGATAGACAATATTAACACAGAATATAATGCAAATAAAAAATTTTACAAATCGCGTATTATTATTACGATCAATTCGTGATGTTTTTTAGGAAACGCAGTGTAGCTGCTTTCATAAAGTTTTCGTAATTTATTACGTTCGGCAGAGAGAGAGAGAGAGAAAGAGTCGATATTTATTTAATGTACATTTCTTTAGGTACATCTTTGAATTATCTCCTGCTCTCTGTAATGGCTAATTGGGACGTTGTACCTTGGTATTTCCTGATAGCCGATATTCCTACTGCTCTCTTGGGTGGCATAAGCGTATTGATGTTAGCGTCAATGTGTTACATCACTGATATGACGGACGATAACGAGCGGGCATGGCATTTAGCCTGGTTAGATGCATGGGTCTCTCTCGGTGTCCTAATCGGACTGCTTTCTGGTCCAGTGATATTGGATGCGTACGGCTACACCGCTGTATTCAGTGTTGCGACTATGCTCTGCACTCTGGCAACGTTGTACATATTATTTTTTGTTCCAGAAACTGTACAGAGTCAAACTTCTGTAGGTGTTTCAAAGAATTCATAAAGTCATTTTTTGCAGAAGTAGCTTAGTTAGTCGCACAATGTAGCTTAGAGACTAACAATAAGATGAAATAATGAACATCGTTTCAAATGAATTACGAGTAATCGTTGCTTTTATCTGTCTTTACAGGGTATCCGCAAGGTATTTGACTGTACGTTAGTAAAGGATCTTATTAATGCGTGTGTCAAGAAGAGAGATGGATTCAATAGGTCGTTAGTCTGGAGTTGCATAGCTTGTCTTACGTTTCTCTTGATTGTTTTTGAAGGTAATCTCGCTATTGGGTATCTGTTTGCAAGCGCGCGACTTGGTTGGACCGTAGAAAAGTACTCCACTTATGTAGCTATGGATGTTGTGGTGGGAGGACTCGGCATGATATCTGGTATTAGATTAATGCGGAAATACGCAGGTATTGTTTTGGTGATATCGAAAAACATACTTCGTTATTTGTTGCAATAATTTCTCGAGAACTTAGATACTTGTATGATTTAGGATTTCCAGAGGCTGTAGTTGCCATAGTATCTGTTACATCGTCGTTTGGTAGTGCCTTGGTACGTGCCTTTACATGGCAGTCTTGGCATATGTATTTATCAATGGTTCTAGGAATGTTTGGTAACATATCCCGACCGATGATACGTGCTATATTATCCAAGGTGGTGCCTACGCAAGACACAGGTAAACCTCGTCTTTTGATTTTAATAAATAATTGTAAAAAAAAGTGAAAATTTAGAATCGTGCCAGAAATGAAATACTCTTAAATGTGTATTTTAAAGTGTACTTATTTCAACAGGGAAGGTTTTCGCTTTAGCTATGTCTCTAGAGACACTGTTACCATTTGCGGCAGCTTCTCTGTATACTTTTCTCTACGCCCACTACATGCCACCTTTATATCCTCTACCAGTGTGGTTTTTATCAGCACTATTCTATGTCATAACTATTGTAATACTGATATATATGCAGATACAAATGGTAAAAAGTATTACAGTGCCTTTTACTCCTTTGGCGGAAGATAATGACTCAATTCATTAATATCTTATCGAGGAAAAACAAGTACAAAATATATTCACAAGATAAACCAAGTGATAAACCAAATACGAAAATCTATCCTCATACGCGTTTTTTTAAGTAACATAAAGCGTGTATTCTTTATATATATTTGTGGATTTTATAATATAAAATTTTTTATAATATACATGCTGTGAATAAAAAAAGTCAGTCCTTAAAATGTTTCAATTAATTATTATTACGAATAATCTTCAATTAATAGCTTTATATTTTTATATATAATGTAATGCTCACATAATATATATAATCTATTTTTATGATTAGGAAAAAATATTGTTAAATTATATTTATAGTACAAGAGAATAAATGTTTATATACCTTATGTATATATATATATATATATATATATATATATATATATATATATATATATATATCGGGTGATTCATAAGTATATGTAAATACTTTGTGGGTGTAATGTAGAGATAAAAATAAGACTAAAATGTTCTATACAACTTTTTCTGCTATTGCTTTATTTCAGAGCTGTGTATCAAAGAACGGATAACAAACTCAACACAAACTAAAAGTCATTTCTTCTAGAGTTCACAGATTAGTACAGTTTTCATAATACGTTTTTTAAAGTGATTTCCCTGAACTCTAAGACAGAGACTTGCTCGTCGCCTTAATGATCTCTGAATGTCACAGAATCTGTTCAAACTCATTTTGAACAGGATTAAAAGTTAAAGAGACGTGGTGTAGGATGTGGTGTAATCAACTGTAGTGAGGTGTAGAAATAACAAACATCTACTATGTTGAAGAATGAACATGACACGTCCTAAGGCTCATAAGTACTGCCTTCATGTTGTTTATGCCTAGCAAGGTATTATGTATTACATCATAACTCTGAAATTAAGGAGTTTCAGAAAAAGTTGTATAGAACATTTTTACCTCTTAGGTCTTATTTTTACCTCTACATTGCATCCATAAATCCACAAAGTATTTACATGTACTTTATAAATCACTCTGTATAGGTAAAAGAAAAATAATTTCATGTGTGATTAAAAAAAATAAAATTGTACAATTCCTTTATAAATATTGTTATTTTAATATTACCAACTTATCCATTCAAGGGAGAATTTTAAAAAATTATAAATTAATTATAAAATCATTTATAAAGAGAATTATCTATGTTTATATTATTTCGTAGATTATTATACGTCACATCTTTAAGGAGCAAAATTATATAGAGCAAAATTATTTTCAATATAAAAGAATAAATTTATTCGCTGAGGCGAATTTTATGCTTTACTTTCTCTCTATAAACATAATTATTTTTGCTTCACAAGTTATCGTAATAATCCACATGATCGGCTGCATTGTATTTACGTTCTTTCAAGATTTGCACAAGACGATTAACAGTCTGTTCTGTAGTCAACACGGTTTTCTTTTGTCGCATCTCAATATACATCTTTTTAGCTTCGGGATCGGCGATAGTTTCGCATACCGTTGTGAACATATCCGTGTCGACAGGTCCCGGTGAGTAACTTAACACATTAGCATCAGGATTTTCTAATGCAAAAACCTGTACGAAGAAAAAAGCATATTAATAATTGGAAAAATATATATTCGTGATTACGTGGTAATTAAAAAACACGCACACATACACACCTTAAAGTACATTTCTCTTGCTGCTTTCACTGAGGAATATTGACCACTGCCAATGCCTGCTTGAATAGCGTATAAAGATGTAATATTGATAACCGTCTTCTTAATGGTTTTATTATCAAATGTATTCATGACCACCGCATTTAATATGGCAGGTATGAACATGTTTAGATGATAAAGTTCTCTCCAGCTGTTCACATCCATCATATCGTTTACAGATTTAGAGAGATCGCCCAAAGAGCCTACATTATGTACCAGGACTACTCGATCAAATGCGTCGGAAGTAGTTTCTTTCAAAGCTTCCGATAAGAATTCTAGGATATTTTAAATTTTTCGTGAAAAGCGATTGTGTGAAAAATGATTAATATGCTCGATCTTGTAAGAACTTCGATTTACCTTGAAACTCGACATCAGTTGATTTACTTAAGTCTGTACTAGCGGTGTAAACTTCCACTTTGGAAGGTATATTACTTGCAACTTTTCGCAATGCATCCTTATTCCTCGCTAATAAAAGCACACGTGAGCCTTCCTCCAGTAGCGAGCCAAATGTTATTGCTATTTGCCTACCGATACCACGACTCGCACCAGTGACCAAAAGAAAAACTTTACCAGACAATGCTTCAACTGACATGGCGTATTACGTTGCAACTTTACGAAAACTAGTTATTATGCTCTGCTTTGAGCTCTGTTGACGGCTGGCTCGTTTGCAATTCCTCTGTAATATCTCCTTCTCGCTCAGCCTGTATGGTTGCTTGAAGTACGTCTGCCTTCAGGAGATGAACTACTTCACTGGCCGTCAAGGCCTAAACAAGTCAAATGAGTTTACAAATGAGATTTTCTTCGCAAAATGATTTTATTGGTTATTTTGAAAGATTCAAGTTGCAAACAAATGTAATGAGATAGTTTATTATTATCCAGATGCTCACCTGTAGATGAGGGGCTATGTGCCGTATCAGAGGATTTGACGCCAACTCAGCTTCTTCCTCAGACTGGGGATTGTTTCCAGAGGTGATTAAACGTGCAATGCAATCCTCCTTTGCTCCTGATAGCGACGTTACAAGGTCCTTTTTTGTGGTACCTCCCTGAAGCACCTTCAACCTAGAGTCTGTCATTGGAAAAGAATTAGAAACCGTGATAAAATACCGAAAGTGAATCATCTTACACAGCTGGCATCTTACATAGCTTTTGTAGATACTGCTCCGAATCGGACAGCCGACGATGAGTACGGTGACTGATTTTCGCGTCCAAGAAAGAATCTTCAAAACGATCATTAGGCGAGTCGTCGTTGTCGACCGTCGTTTCCGCAAGCGTTCCGCGCCAAGGATCGCTGACGTTCGTTTTCATTCTAAATCAAGCTTCAAGTTGTTATCTACGACCTTTTTTTATCATTTCACCACGTCATGCATACTTTCACTTTTTTCCCCTACTAATCACACATACGCGACGAGATTGCGTCGTATCGAGTTTAAGTATACCCACTAACCCACTCCAATTGATAAAAAGGACGTTGATTGTCGAATGTCGATACCCCGCCTCCATCCTCCATGGACCAGCGAATGAGCGAAAACTGAACACCGATTGCGATTGGCGACGCAAAGAAAAGAAATTCTCCCTAGCACGCCTGGTGGCCGCAAGTTGAACTAACGTAAATCTTCCAAAATTTTCGTAAACGATGAATACTAGTCCCTTTACCGCGTCCCGTGTGCAGGAGGCGCAAGAGCCAAAAGCCAATACGAATGTCGAATACGTGCCCCTAGCTGTTTAGGAAGTTCTTCGAAAAAGAACAGACGGAATATTTCCGATGGGAGCTTTCAAACGTGACGCAGACGGCAACCGCTCGCTCTCTCCTTAGGCTTGTTCGCGTTGCTTGAAATCACCAAACATTTTTGCACTTGAAATGAGATAAATATATATTCGGCCGTTGGAGAGAGAGAGAAAGCGAAGATGCTGAGTGCAAAAAGTGCAAGCAACGCGAACAGACCCCTTCTCTGTCTGTCGCGCATGATCGCGAACAGCTTTGGCCGCATCAATATCAAAAGTGCAGACGGTTGCGCTACTGCTACTGTGTCGTAGTAGTGCGGCCAGGAATCAGGATCCGTTGATTTTCCATCGTAACATGTCAAAGATGGTGAGTACCGATCGCGGAAATAAAACGCACTGCGGCTATGATGTCCGTTTGTCATCGTGTGAAAGGACAACGTAAAACCAGAATTCTCGATTTCACGGATAAGAGAGCGCGAAACCACTTCAGAAATCTGCACAATCTGCTCCGCTTCCGTTGTTCCTCCCTCCCTTCGAATCGAAGCCGCATCAATAACTCCCCTTTGTCAGGCTTGTTGTCTTGCATAAAATATGAAGTAATGTAATCTTTTCTGGTTCAGCGCATGAAAGCAGTGAGGTGTCCCACGGACGAGCTCAGTCTCTCCAACTGTGCTATTATAAACGCCGATGATTTCCCTGATGATGTCAGGTAGAAGAATTTGCACACAATTTGACGTATATAATTATAATTATCTTACATCCACATGACTGTCTCCCTAATCATTTATGGAATAATTATATATTCGTATTAAATTTTTCCATAAATTATTCCATATCTGTACTATATATGCTTATTTGTGTCTTGGAAACAATTCCAAGTGGAATATAATATAAGTATAGGTTGAAGTAAGGCAATAAATTATTTTATACAAAAGAAAATTATTTTAAAAAATTCCACCATAATTGATTATTTAATTCACCAATATATTTTAAGAATTTATTATATATTGTACAATCATATATATCTTACAAATATCCATATATTTGCTAGTAATTATGAAGGAGAGGAGCTTCTTCACCAATTTGGCTGAAACTTCACAATTTTGTGTATTTTGATACATAAAACATGAATCTATAAGTTGAAATTGTCGCTCTCAATTAGGAGAAAAGTTATTAAGTACTAAAGTTGACAGTTGCGTGGTTAGGATGTCTGTCATTTATTATACTTTGTATTTATAGACTTTTCAATATGCTAATTATTTTCTGCTTTAAAATAAGCATAATAACTCCTATTTCTATTATCTTTTTTATTAACCATGTAACTCAATATATTATGGCATATTCAGTACAATATTTTTCTAGGAACTACATATTTTTCAAGGAAAATAATAATTTATGTTTTTTGTTAAAGCAGAGAATAGATGAATCAACTATTCTCTGCTTTAACAAAAAACATAAATTATTTTAGAAAATAATTGGCATATTGAAAAGCTTATAAATACAAAGTATAATAAATAACAGATCCTTACCACACAACTGTCAACTTTAGTACTTAATAACTTTTTTCCTTAACGAAGACAATTTTAACTTATAGATTCATGTTTTACATACCAAAATACACAAAATTGTAAAGTTTCAGCCAAATTGGTGAGAAAGCCTCTCTCCTTCGTAATTACCTATTTGCCTTGCTGAAGCCAATTAGGAATTCGAGTTATCATAAATAATGCATGTTTATGTTATGTAAAATGTTTATCTGTATTTTAGGAACAATTTCAGATGGAATAAAAAATGGCATTAAAATAACAAATTATTTGTTCAATATAAATACATTTATATGTTTTGAAATAGAAACTCTCTAAATCATATATATTCTATATTTTACTAGATTATATAAACTCTGTACTTAATTCTATAAACTATGCCTAAATGTTTTATTTCAAAATTTCTCAAAAATTTATGCGACTTTATAGATTACAGAGCCACATTTTAAATCATAATGTGATAAGACAATATTGATTGGTACATTTATTTTTTTATTCGTTACAGGCACATTGAAGTAACTACAGCACCAAATTATCATTTTGTGTTTACTGTGAGAACGCATCATGAGATTCCACGTGGCACAGTTGGCTTCAGCTTACCTCAACGAAAGTGGGCGACGTTGTCTCTCAATCAAGAGATTGAAGTTCGGCCGTACCATTTTGATCCTACTTCTAACACGGAATGTTTATGCAACATCGTCTTGGAAGCTGATTTCCTACAGAAGAAGTTGTATGTTTGGCAAAAAATTTATTTATATTATATACATATATGACAAAATGATTAGAATTTCTATATAGTATAATTCTATATAATATAATTTATAAAATATTTTAATTGAATAAACACAATTTATAATAAATTTATATATAGACACAACAAATCTTGATCTGAGTTTTATAGTCAAATTTCCATTAGTTTTTTTCTTTTATAATTACTACATTTATCTATTGTTATTTCAGTGTCACTTTGGAGCCATACAATACAGACGAAATGGCCAAGGACTTCTTGCTACAGTTTTCTGGGCAGGCATTCACCGTGGGTCAGCAGCTGGCATTTCAATTTAAGGATAAGAAACTGCTTGGATTAGTTGTCAAAAGTTTGGAAGCTGCTGACCTATCAGCCATCAGTTCAGGACAAAGTACAGTGCCTAAGAAGACAAAAATGGGACGTTGCTTGGGCGACACTATAATACAATTTGAGAAGGCGGAGAACTCCAGCCTGAATCTTGTTGGACAGTCTAAAGGAAAAGCTCTCCGACAGACAATTATCAATCCAGATTGGGACTTTCAGAAAATGGGCATTGGTGGCTTGGATAAAGAATTTAGTGCCATTTTCCGAAGAGCATTTGCATCCCGCGTTTTTCCAACGGAGATTGTCACTCAATTGGGTTGCAAGCATGTAAAAGGAATCTTGCTGTATGGACCACCTGGCACGGGAAAGACGTTAATGGCTCGGCAAATAGGAACGATGTTAAATGCAAGGGAGCCGAAAATTGTAAATGGTCCACAAATTTTAGATAAATATGTTGGAGAGAGCGAGGCTAATATCAGAAGATTATTTGCTGATGCGGAAGAAGAAGAAAAGAAGGTAAATAATTTGAAATGTATTTGGAGACACAATGGCCTAGTTTACACCGATCTCTTGATACGCGTATCAAATAGTATATTTGAACTGATCAGCCAATAATCAGACTTATTTACTAGTTATTTACTATTTAATACGCGTATCAAGTGATCGGTGTAAACTAGGCCAGTATTGTATTTAAATCAGATCTTTTACGTGTAACAGGAGAAAAGGACGGAAGAAATATGTTGTATATTTTTAGCTTGGACCAAACAGCGGACTTCACATAATCATATTCGATGAGATAGATGCCATCTGTAAATCTCGAGGTAGTGTTGCTGGAAACACGGGGGTTCATGATACAGTGGTTAATCAGCTTCTTGCAAAGATTGACGGTGTCGAACAATTAAACAACATTCTTGTTATTGGTATGACCAACAGAAGAGATATGATTGATGAGGCCTTGTTAAGACCTGGCAGATTAGAGGTAAAATTGAATTTGTTTAATAAGATAAACAATCTTTTTAAAGCTACGCATATATACGAATGCAAATATGAACAGAACGTTTTTTTGCGTTCAATTTACGTTTAATTGAATTTACTCCACTTTGATCGATATACCTTGTTAAGAGATATATCAAAGAAAGATTTTTAAATAGATTTGCTGTTCTTTTGTTGATTTGCTTGCTCGTAATATGAATATTAATATAATAACATTTATTCGTTATACATATAATATTTGTTTTAAATATGCCTCTATGCTTTTCTATGCTTAAAGTTACAAATGGAAATTAGCTTACCAGACGAACATGGGCGGTTCCAAATTCTTAATATTCACACATCCCGAATGAAAGATTATAAAAAAATAGCGCCTGACGTAGACTTGAAAGAGTTGGCCACTTTAACTAAGAATTTTAGTGGTGCAGAGTTGGAAGGTTTAGTTAGAGCGGCACAGAGCACCGCCATGAATCGACTAATTAAAGCTTCTAGCAAGGTGGAAGTAGATCCATCCGCTATGGAGAAGCTTATGGTAACTAAAGGCGATTTTTTCCATGCATTGGAGCATGATGTTAAACCGGTAAGTGATAAGAATTAAAGACTTTTTATTCGAAAATTATTTTATTAGACGAATCTTTTGTACTACATGATACGTAATTTTACACAACCCGTTTTGACATACTATATATTATTAATTATTTATTCTTATTGAATAACGCTATATCTAATAATGCTACGTCTTTTTTTTAATTATATATATTTTTAATGGATAAACTTTTGGTTCATATAACTACATATTTCGTCATTTTAAATAGTTAATACGCATTTATGTAAGACATATGATAACAGTTAAATGTTAAATTTTCACATCCTTCAGGCATTTGGTACAAGTGCTGAAGTATTGAATCAATTGTTGACTCGTGGGATTATTAATTGGGGAAGCCCAGTGGCTGAAATTCTCGCTGATGGCAGTTTATGCATTCAACAAGCTCGAGCGACTGAAGGATCTGGACTCGTTTCTGTTCTTTTGGAAGGACCACCGAATAGCGGAAAGACCACTCTTGCTGCACAAATTGCAAAGAATTCAGACTTTCCATTTGTTAAAGTGTGTACACCTGAAGACATGGTCGGTTTTATTGAATCTGCAAAATGTCTTTCCATACGGAAGGTATGGTACTCATTTTATATTGTCTATACAAGTTTATCTCGTAGTAAATACTTATAATTATATCTGATGTAAAACTTGGAATACCATTTGTGAAATTTTAGGTATTCGACGATGCATATCGTTCGCAGCTCAGCTGCATTTTAGTTGATAATATTGAACGTCTATTAGATTACGGCCCAATTGGACCAAGATATTCTAATCTGACATTGCAAGCACTTTTGGTGTTATTGAAGAAATCGCCGCCGCCTGGTCGTAAATTATTGATTCTGTGCACTTCTAGTCGCAGGTAAAATAAGAACTTTTTTTTTTTAAGAAAAATTATTAAAAAACATACATATTCTTTATAATATATTTCTTTTTGCAGACAAGTTTTAGATGATCTAGAACTACTTTCAGCATTTAATACCATCCTTCATGTGCCTAATTTGTCAACCCCTGATCATCTGTTGAACGTGCTGGAAGAAGTTGATCTCTTCTCAAAAAAAGAAATGGCTTCCTTGCATGCAAAGGTTAAAGGAAAACGGTAAGATATTAAAATTCTTATTAACAATTTTATTTAGACACTATATGTGACATGTATATGAGACATATAGAGCATATATTTCTATAATATATATTTTATCATCATTGTATTTTATGATTTCAGTGTATTCATCGGTATTAAGAAATTGCTCTGCCTAGTAGATATGGCACGTCAAGTGGAACCAAGTTACAGAGTCGCAAAATTCTTATCGAAACTGGAAGAAGAAGGCGGTCTAGAGTAAGACGTTATTCCATTTCGAGCTGCGTTACTTTTGGTAGTACAGAAAAAGTAAAGAATACTTCTAAGCATAGCTTCTTTCGAGTTCAGATTGCTCAAGCTGACTTTGATCATTCCCCAAAACGAACGCAGTCTCAGATTGTAGTAATTTAAATAGAGAAATTTATAGCTTCTGTGTATAAGTGAGAGATATAATCAGTGATATTTAGATCTTCTCAGTGTTACAATGAGTTCTTGTAACAGGTTAGAAAATAGATAATATCGCTTAGATTGTGATGCATATCTGAAAACACGTAATTAACTCTGTCAAGTACTACATTATTACAGATATTTAAACAAATGTTATTTAGTTTTGTAAATTACAAAGATGAATATCATATTTTCGTATAATATTTTCATAACAAGTAACTTTTATGTCATCTTAATTTGATTTAATTTTATTTTTTTTATTAACTTTAGAAATCCAATTTCTTTATTTTACAGACTTTTAACGGCTTAAGGCTCCTGGGTATTCGCCGTGACCATGTTAGATCGTACCATCAGAAATCAGAAATGACACGCTGAGAATCTTTGCGTGCTATTTTTAAATAAAAATACTTAAATGAAAAAACACTTCAAATTACTTTAACACACTTATAAAATGTGTATTTCGAAAACTATCCTTTTCCCTTAACAGTTAATAAACAACCGTAAAATGAATGTGATTGATAAATGAAACCTAGTCATGCAGACTTATTGCGCAGGTATAAGGAAAAAGGATGGATAGGAAAGATATAGATTTTCGGAACATTTTATAAGTTAAAGCGATCTGAAATGTTTTTTTATTTAAATATTTTTTTAATTTGAAAATAGCACACAAGGATTCTCAGCATGTCATTTCTCGCCTCTGACGTCATGATCTAACATGATCGCGGTAATCCAAGAGCCTAACGGATTTATTTGTTGGGTTTATTTGCATTTGGAAGTAATAATTTGCCTCAACTTCAACAGATATTCAATTATTGCATAATAATGTACAATTATTATATAGTTACTACGGAAACATATATATGTAAAAAAAAGACGGAAACATTTGAAACGACGCGTACAATACCTGATTTTAGTGTAACGATCGTTGATTGCATTATACCAGCATTTCTCTCTTCCTCATATGGCTTATATATATTTAATATATGATTAAGGGTTGATTGTTCCAACTTGTTGGTAAACTAACTAAAAGTTAAATTATATATATATATATATATATATATATATGTCTTCGTTTTTCTTTCAAATTAGACAAAGATAGACATATGATTTAACTATTAGTTAGTTTACTTACCAACAGGTTGAAACAATCAGCCCTAAGTCGATAAAACATTTTTATTAAAAAAAATTGTACTTATATTAATAAAATTGTACTTACAATTAGCTTTAGCTGTCGTAGAAACGATTGCACCAATGTCATTTGCTATTTAAAAGTTTGATGATAATTTCTTATCTTTCTAAGTTATAATCCTGATTATAACGTAGATGGAGAAAAAAGATTTCTATAAATAGCATTAACACAGGATTGCAATAAAAGCAGCTATAAATGAAGAGTATGGGTACAGCTGGACATATTTCTATAGTTGTACATTACGTGATACATATTTATTCCAGCACATATATTTTTAAAGAACAGTTTGAATGTGTAAACAGATGTGATTTTAGAACAGTGCTTCCTATTCGCGAAAAACTTGCGACTTTATTGGAGAAATAGGAGAGATGTAATATGAGAGTATGTCTATTTAAGCGATAGTTCATTAATGCAACAGTCATCAGCAAATTAAACGTATTAAGGAAATGGATAATTAATAAATTTTTTGACCAAGTTCTCTACACATATTTGCAGTACATAATTATTTTAACGTATGAATATAGTTAATTTGATACAATTAATAATCTAGTTTATATCCATAATATTACTTTTATGTGTTATAAGAAAAAAAAATATTTATTAATAAAAAAATATTTTATTTTAAATAATACTAGGAAGTAAAATAGAGAAAAAAGGATGTTTTTTAAACATGAATATCTTGTCTTATTATTTATTATGAATGACATCATAAGAGAGTTAAAATTTATAAAAAGGAAAAACCACTGGAGGGACACGTTAACAATCTTCTTGTACATGCTAAAAGATTCATATATCAGAAGACAGTTAGGGAAACGCTGTTCTAGTTTGTAATTGAGAAAGAATTGTTTTATAAGAATATGACAGATTGACACTTGTCCGTAAGACGATGAGTAGACGTTGTGGTATTCTACTTTTAATTATTGAATAGCAATAAATATAGCTATATACAAAGAGATATACCTATTATATTCTCGTATGCCTTGTATTTATTGTTGGATGCATCTACGAGTGCACATGTGTATTATACGCAATGGATAATTGTGCACATGTGTTGAATCAATGTTTGTCACTATGGTTCGGAGAAAGAGAAAAATTATAATAGGTAGAATAGTCATAAGAGGATAGCCGAATTTTAGTCAATATCTGTGTCAATAATTCTTCGCTATCTTCGGCGTGTATTAATAGAGAAACATTCCAATTATCACGTGAGATACATTTATTCTGTTCTGAATAATCGCGAGGGATTAATGAGAAGGATGCGTTACACATATATATATGTTGTACTTTTATTTTTATTAGTACGATTTAAGATAGATCTATATATAGTATGTAATTTGTTATTAGGATATCAGTTGCTATGATTGTGAATTATTAACGAACAATAATATAAGTTTATTTATTTTTTTGTACACAATTGTGTTAATTGTATCTGTATAGTTTGAACAATTCAGCAAACTAATTACATGCATTATATGTGTATAAGATAAGAAACGAATCCATATGTATCGCGGACGTCTTGTGAAGAAATTTCGCTTGTGCAATATTTCTTATGTGCTGTAATATAATCGACTACTTGTCTCTGTATTAATCAATGTGATCTGCTATCAATGCAAGACAGAAATAAAATTACCCACGAATGTAGAAGGCCTTTAATAACGTCTTTTATAAAGGAGTCAAGTGAACCAAAAATTAAGGGGGTAGCCTGGTGTAGCGGCTTCAAAAAATTGAATTTTTTTTTGCTTAAATCGATAGTATTCTATCTCTAGAATACGCTCCTTAAACTCTAAGCATGAATTTAGATTTTAGCGGGCTAAAATGAGCTCGATCGGTGCGCATGGTCGAGCGCTCCGAGGAGCAGGATGCTGGGGGGAGCTCTCAACGGTCTTTGAAAAGGCTCGTTGCCGGCTGATTTGTGAAGATTTGTCGAAGAAAGAGCTGCTCGAAAGGTGTTTGGGTGGGCATATCCAAAATGCGAACAAGAGTTTCAACAAGCGTTTTTTCAACTCTACTGTTTGGCGGTTTGCTCCAAAACACCACTGCAGCCGGAAGATCATAGAGATTGCTGCTTACATAGCAGCTGGAATATTTAACGAAGGCTATCTGTCAGTGCTAAACATAATGTCAGATTTGGAAATAGTTATTGGGACAGCATGCAGAGATTATGCCGACAAAATTAATAATAGCCGTACGACCGTTCGACCAGAATCGTCGAAGTAAAAGCATTGCTCGCGAACTAAAAAATATACATAAACAACGGCTATTGGAGCAAAACGAGCTGTATGAAGAAGTTGAGGGGATATTATATGGACCAGGGATAGCAGATTGACCAAAAAGTATAGGTAAATTAACAATAATAAGCTTTTATCAACCTTCTTTCTTATTCGAAAACTTTAAACGCGTTTTTCTCAAAACCATGTTTTTGAAATTGGCGTACACGATAACTCAAAATATTTTTGATGGATCCAGATTATTTTTTTTTTAATTAAAGGTAATTAAATTGCCTTGAACTTATACCTATAATATGTACTAAAAATTTTGTCCAAAAAAATTATAAACAAAAAAAAGTGCGAAATTCATGCAAAAAAATTTTTTTTTTCAAACCACCATTTTTAACATTTTTTATGATAAAACAAATCATGTTTTAGGTATAACTAGAAACTATACTCATAAACTTTACAAAAAAATTTTTTTTGTGTCAGATCGTTCTACGGGATGCTAGAGTGTACGCCATTCAGAAAGAATTTTCGAAGCCACCTTCGTATTTGATCGCATAACTCCTGTGTACTTACATATATTTATTCAAAAAAATTAATTTGAACATTTCAATATGTACACAATAAATAGTGTTAATTGCAAAAATATATATTAAGTAGTTTCTTTTTTAAAAAATCCAGAAAAAGAGCTTGTTTTGGCGTTCTACATCAGGCTATCTCCTTAATGTACACATTTACCTGTATAATATTCCACATAAAATAATTCTAAATGTGAAAAATGGATGGTCAGATAAGAGTCTGACGAGGATAAAAAAAAGTTACGTGTATACATATAATTATTGGTTGTGTATCTATTTTGTGATAAGAGCCATTAAAGTTTTCCATCCTCTATCGTAATTTTCTATAGTATAGGTGAGTATAATATAAGGTGTGTGTATGTATGGAGGAGTTAAAGCCATAGTGGTGTAGAAGTCAAATTCTTTAAAATTATTGACTCGTGTGCACGCAATCTATACAATATATAAGTTGCATCATGCACACGAGTCAAAATATTATAAAAAATTGACTTCCAGACAGCACGTATGTCTTAAAAGACGTAAAGACATTTTTTAAGCAGGGCACACACTTTTCGTGGAACGTAACAGTAAGGTTTCGACCAATCGCGTTGCTCGATTCGGCCGTCTGTAACCGTAGAAGTAAGAATCGAGCAACACGCTTGGTCGAAACCTTACTGTTAGGGCTGGTTTATAATAGCCGTAACCGTTGATTTAAGCCGTAATCTTTAAGAAATTGACCAATCACAGTCGATTATTCTTCTCACATTCGACTGTGATTGGTCAATTTCTTAAAGATTACGGCTTAAATCAACGGTTACGGCTATTATAAATCAACCCTTACGTTCTTCGAAAAGTGTAGGTTTGTTCGCGTCGCATACTCCAATATACACCAGAGACATTGGATCACGGATAAAGGGTGACGATTGGAGCAGATGAGTTTTTGGAATGCGTTGGAGTGAGTAGGAGCATGGTGGGGCGTGCGTCGCGAACTGTCCCCTGCTTAGACATCTTTTAGACACACATCTTTACGACATCTTTTAAGGTGGAAGCACATAAAATTGCAGGAGCCATGAGCAGAAGGCAGAAGCCATATGCGCATGCACTATGCTATCTGTAGAGCTCTACAGATACATATGGCTTCTGCCTTCTGCTCATGGCTCCTGCAATTTTATGTGCTTCTATCTTTAGACATCTTTTAGGCCCTGGCTACATCTATCGTGACTATCGTAACGCTTTGATCGTGGTCGTAAGCAATGAAGTCGTCGTAAACCGTATATCTATGCCAATTTATCTATAAACACATTTTTCTTCGCACGTCGAAAAAGCTGACAGGTTAGGTTATGTTGTAACGCCAGACAAGCGTCGTAATTGTAAAGAGTTCAGCTAAATCAACTCATACGATGAGCTTACGATAGCGATTACGACGAGCGTTACGACCGTTACGACGAGCTTACGGTGAACATTACGATAGATGTAGCCTAGGCCTTTGGTGATCCTAAAGCCGTGATTCTAGCCGGTTTTTTCGGTTTTTTTCTTAGCACTAATCTTTTAATTGGCTTTATAGAAATGCAAAATTCTTGTCTAGAATTAAAGTACACATCAAAATCTAGGTCATGATGGTCGAATTTATATCGAAAACGAAAAAAAATTAATATTTTTTGTTATACGTGACGACCACCACATATAAATTCGACCACCATGACCTAGATTTTGATGCGTACTTTAATTCTAGACAAGAATTTTGCATTTCTATAAAACCAATTAAAAGATTAGTACTAAGAAAAAAACCGAAAAAAAACCGGCTAGAATCACGGCTTTAGGATCACCTTAAAAATGCGTGCTATCTGGGACCACTATGGGTTGTGTATTACATACATACGTATACATATGTAAAGGTGCCTTTTCACGTTAACGCTCGACGCTCATTTTTAGCAAGTAAAAATCTTCAGAAATAATATCTTTTATTTATATATATATCCATAAAATATTATTACTTGAAGATATTACTTGAAAATAATTAATATTTTACGTATTTTAAAGTCTATGTTTGATTGTACTGGGACGATTAACGACGATTCAGCGACGACGCTGAATATTAAACAAATTCAACTTCATTTCTTTGACGCTAGCGTCAAAGCGAAACCACCACGTTCACCTTAGGCTTGTTCGCGTTGCTTGAAATCCCCAAACATTTTTGCACTTAAAATGAGATAAATATATATTCGGCCGTTGGAGAGAGAGAAAGCGAAGATGCTGAGTGCAAAAAGTGCAAGCAACGCGAACAGACCCCTTGTTGACGCTCATTTTCAGCGTCTCATGAATTGGCACCTTTAACCGCCCGGGACTCAGCTGGCGTCCCATGGAGCGGATTTGGCGGAACGGAACGAGCGTATCACCAATCACGGGATTGTTCTGATAAAACCCTGTCAAAGATTTCGTCGAAACGGTCCCATGATTGGTGATACGTTCGTTCCGTTCCGCGTTATCCGCTTCATGGGACGCAAGAGTGGTTGTGTTTTACTGAACCTAACCTAACTACTCCAAGGCACGTGAGAAACAGAAAGAAAGAGAAATCTAATCTAAATCAAGGATTTAATTGTCATGCTTCTTTATGTGATATCAAATAAAGAATGTCATGTCACGTTCTAGAATTTGGCAGTATGGCATACCATTTATGATTTTTGTTTTCGGTGGATCGCTTGGCCTCCGAGAATTTACGGAATTACGGTAATTGTTAGGAGATAAACTTAAGTTTATTAATCAAAGCATTTTTATCAAGATTTCTTTATTGAATGAATTTTCAGTTATAGATATAAACGTACACATGAACATAAAGTACGCGACGAATTAGAAAAGAAAGGAATTCAAATGAAACAACCAGAAGAAATTACTTTAGAGAAAGAATATGAAAAGTTGGAGAAGGTATGTAGATTAGTATTACCTATATTAAATTGGTGAACAAAGGTTGAAGTAAATTTATTATGAGCGATTAGAACGTCGAAAATTATTTTTACTGCTTATTAAGCTATTGTTATACCAGTTAAGTAAATTATAACAATAATAACATAAGCTAGAGTCTCTAAAAGTATAAGCAGTAGAGATGGTTATAAAACATTTAAATGAATAATGAAATATTTTGATTAATCTAAAAATATATATTATATTTTTTTATGAAAAATATTTTTTAACCATCCATTATTTGTAAGAATATATAATATGTCAGACATACTTGATTAACCTGCTTGTTTGTTAAATAATACATACAAATATTGAGTAAACAATTTTGATACTACAAATATACTTGTTACTATATAAATCATTAGTTCTTATATATACAAAGAAAGTAATTCCATACAGTCTGTCTGTATAGAGTTCTTTTCATTTAACGACAATGAAATTGATACAACTTTTTATCTTTCTTACCATTCAATGAATAACAAAGATAAACATGTCATTAAAAATTGAAAGCATCTACAATATATCTTATGTTCAGATGGATCTTGACAACTGGAAGAACGTTCGGATATCAAGACCATGGGAAGAATCAGAAAATACAAGAGCTCAAGTATGAATAAAAATGTTCTTGACACATAGTAATCATTATACAATTAGCAGAAACAACACGTGATTAATTCATCAAACTTCAGAATAAATATTCGTAATATCACTCTTTAATTACATGAGTTTGTTACTAAATATTACTACTAAATAAATATGATAATTTTTCATGTAGTCTGTTCTGCTATAATTTTAAGAAATTTAATGACAATATAGTAACCGATAAATTCTTATTTCTTGATATATTATGTATATATAATTGGATTTACATGAACAATGTTCATAGTTTTGAAGAAATTTCAAGTTTATGATTATAAATGACTAATGCAACATATGAGAAAAGAAGCATATATTTATCTTTAATATAAATATATTATAAATATGTTTTGTAATATATTTATGATTAATTAATTTATCTATGTCTATATTAGAATTGAACCATGAAGACTAGAGATAAGGAGGCCGAACTATACATTCGGACATGCGACAAAAACCGAGGCCCGGTAATAGTACCTACGGAAAAATAAAAACACTTAATATAAATCGACCCCAAGCTATCGATCAAGCCTACTTAAATTATTTAATCCGTTCACTCGTTATTGAGATCTCAAAATCTCGGGTACTCGCAACTCGTGCGTTCGCGTAAATGAGTCACGGTGCGTCTCGATCCGCGCGTACTTGGCGCGAGACACGGTAGTGCACGGTAGAACACTACTGTGTCTCTTGATAGGTACCTATCCTAGAGTACGTTCCGATTCCCCGCCTGGGTGCTGAAATATGAAAATCTATAGTGCACGTAACATATACTATAGGATTTTTAGCACTCGGGTGGGGAATCCGAACGCAGCCCTATAGGTGACATTGCAATCACAAGATACCCTAGAGTTGGTCAAGGAAGAGTTAAGCTAATGGTGTTCCTTTCGCTAATTGGGTTCGCCATTTCCCGATCAGCGCTTCCGGTTCTTTAGTGGAAGTAAGACAAAGCTATAAGTGGGAGTGAGAAAGCTATAACATACTGTACATTGGTCCGCCATTTATCGACAAGACGTTAGTGGGAGTGAGACAAAGCTACGGTATTGGCACAACTCTACTTACAGGAACTCTAAAGATACCCGAAGCTTGAGGAAGAGGAGAGCACGGGAGGACAGATTGCAGGCTGGGGACATGTACGTGTGAGCGTACCGTGAGTGTGCGTACTGTGTACATACGTATGAGTCCCGTTAGAGTCCCTCTAATAAGAGTCGCGACACATAGCAGCAACTTTTGATTGGTTCGCATTTTCGGCAAAAGTACGTGAAATAGAAAGAGATATAAGAGAGAAAGAGAAAGCGATATGAATGTATGTTACTTGTATATTGCTTTCTCTTTCTCTCTTATTTTGCCGAAACTCAAGATGTCGCGACTCTTATTAGAGGGACTCTACTAAACACCGCCTCTTTCTCTCCACGAAGAAATGCAAGAAGTTTTGCTTGGGTATTTAAAGCCCCAGAAAGATGACGGAGGATTATAATTTGATCTTTAATTTCAGCTATACTAGGATATTTTATATATTATTTACAAACTTATTTGTATTATTTTGTAGTATTTATTTCTTTAGACGTAATGTATTTATATAAATTATATATTTTTGCTTATACAAATGTTGCAGACACAACAGTTTCATAAAAAATAATTTGCATAATTTAACATGACTTAGGCCCGATTGTTCTAACCTGTTGGTAAACTAACTAATAGTTAAATCATATATATGTCTTTGTTTATCCTTTACCTTAGACAAAGATAGACATATGAGTTAGCTTACCAACAGCTTGGAACAACCGGCCCTTAGGGCTGGTTGTTCCAGCCTGTTGCTAAACTACCTTATGTCTTTGTTATCCTTTACATTGGACAAAGATAGACATGTGATTTAACTATCAGGTAGTTTACCAATAGTTTGGAACAACCGGCCCTTAGGGCTGGTTGTTCCAAACTGTTGGTAACCTAACAGTTAAATCATACATATGTCTTTGGTTATCTTTTACATTAGACAAAGATAGACATATGATTTGTTATTTTTTTTTTTTGGTTTCTGCTCCTTTGGGAAGGAGCAAAGCGCCTTCAACCCTGCCTTTGGGTTATATAGCGTTATATATATGTATGATTTGTTAGCTTACCAACAGGTTGGAACAACCAACCCTTAAGGGGATCCTGCAGTGACTGGCGAACCAGGCGAACTTCCTCGATGTCGATAATGGCTGCGTTCGGGGAGCGCGCTATTAGCGCTATTGCATCATTCTATCTTTATCGCTCATCAAGTGTAGAACAAGGATAGAATAAGCAAATAGCGCTAATAGTGCGCTCCCCGAACGCAGCCAAACCTTTCTAATTTTGTTTTCCCTATATCTGTCTTTGTCTAACGAAATGACATCTGTCCTTTTTTTCGATTGCTCGCCATCTCTCGCAAGATCCGGCAACTACTGTTGCTCTTCTTGTCATTTGCATCCGTATTTGCATTACTAAAATAATTTTTCGATGGATCTTTTTTTGTACGCATTGAATCTTACTTCTACTTGCACGATATTATTCCTACATGTTTTCCCAAGGGCAGATGATAAAAATTATGTATGTATAAACTGCAGAATTTTTGTTTTAAGCAAATATTGTCGTCAGGTGACAGCTGCGTATGTGCCCAAATGAGTAATATTTTTAATTTTTTGGTGTTTTTGATATAAAATCGCGTTTTCTACCCTAGATTTTTGTGCGTACTTTAATTCTAGATTAAAAACTTGCAATTCTGTAAAGCCAATTAAAAGATACATCGAAAAACGATAATGTCGGTAAATCATACGGCTGCAGGATCCCCTTAAAGATTAATTATATACAAAGGGTAAATTCATTTATGGTTTAAATACTTTCATCCATGAAATATCTTAAAATTTTTAGTTTAATTCCAACATAGATACAGATAAATTAATTAATCATAAATATACTGCAAGATGTCCATCACAAAACACACTTTGTAAAAATTGTTAATTCTTTAGCCAACTAAATGTAAATCTTCTTTTTATAAATTTTTTAGAGATTATTAATTATTATATGTATGCTATAGAAAGATGCACTTATAAAGAAACAATCCAAGCAAAATTCAATACATATAATTGAGTAAAAGACGAAGCAAATTTAAAATAAAGGATATATGAGGAAAATGAAACAATTAATGTAAGCAATTCATATAAAAGTAATTAACAACAAGGTCTATTCTTTTTTCCTTTATTGCATAGACTTTGTACCTTCTTTCGTATAAAATTTTTCGAAATTATTTGAGATTATACATTTAAGATAAATGTTAAGAGGATGATTTCACCTCGTGAGTCACGTAGAGTGTGGAGAATTTATTCTAAAGGATTTTGATGTATGTCATTAGAAAGTATTAAAACTAATGCTTAATTGATAATACTTAATTGATAATTTATACACATATGGTAGTGAAGTAATATAATGAAAATTCGAGCTGCTCTGTAGGATTCACATGTGTGTAGTTCAAACTCATTTTAAATGAATATTAATCACTTGTCTATATCAATATAAGCGTATTACACCTTTTTTTAATTCCTAGTCAATACATTTTCTTCTCATAATTCTGATTTTACTTTTTTATAGAATATTATTTATAGAATTTGAAAAACACTTGTCAATACTTATCACGCTAAAATACTCATAGCACACGTTGAGTTTTGCAAAACACCAAATTATGTAGGTCTAACACTTCTAATAGACTCTCAAAATCAATGTTTCAGAGATGTCCTATAAAGAAAATTATATAAATTATATAAAATCTATATGTATATATATATATATAAAATAATTACATATAATATGTATACATAAAAGTATATAAAATTATATTATATATATATATTGGGAAAAAAACTCGTATCCAATACTTGGCATAATTTTTACTATAGACTTATATAGATAGACCAGTTCCTGCCGTAAGAGGCATTGTGGCAGCATATATGGTGCAGACATAGCCTTTCTGAACACCACAAGAAAGAGACAGATCCATCAGAAAGTTTATGTCTGCACCGTATATGTAGCCACAATGCCTCTTACTGCAGCCAATCTATTTATATAAAACTATGATTTTTTTACCTTACCTCTTTTGGAATCCATACATACTTAATAAACTTTGTTGTTTGGGAACTGATGGCAATTGTTTATTTTGACATAATTGTTTCCTTTTTGTTACTGAATTAACTCGTAATACCTAAAGGGATATTTTAAGTAATTTATTAATATTTCCTATTGACTTATAAAAACTTGTTTACATACATACATACATACATATATGTTTACATGTATATATGTATGTATGTATGCATATATATATATATATATATATATATATATATATATATATATGATGTATGCATATTTATATATATATATTTATATATATGTATATATATCTGTATTTACCAGATTCGTTGAATTTTGTTTCTTAAATATATCTTTTTTAGAAAAGATTTGATTATTTTCCGTGTTTGACCATTTAGATAAATCGTTTTGCAAACGACCCGCATTTTCATAATTGGTTATATCAGTAGTTTCCATATTAGAACTTGATACTAAGTAATTATCTGAAATGGAACTCTCATCAATCGTTGGATGTGTCATTGATGATACATAGTTCATCCTGTTGTTAGAGTTTAATTTCTCAGGAATATTTCTGTAAGTGTTAGCCAAATAATTGTTTTGATTTGATAAAATTGCATCATTAACATTTTCTATTAAGCTCGTATTTTGTGCAATGTCTGTTTTAAATGTTTTTTCTAGTTGTTCCTGACTTATATCATGTACACTCGCATCCATGTTTGGAATTGTATTGTATATTGTACTTTTTGAATTGACTTCAATTTCCTTATTCTTTGACTCAAGTACACTATGCTCTTTGTTATCTTGTTTTAAGAAATATTTACTTTCTATCATAGCATTTTCATCTATTATAGTTCGTCTGATGCGTATTAAATTTCTCCCTCTTTTTCGACAATTTCCGTTGGCCAAAACACTTGGTGAAGTTGTAAGATCAGACACTCGCTTAATAAATGGATTTTTTGGTCTAAATAACTCTGGAGACGTATTATTTTTTGCTAAACATAAATAATCTTCTGATTCTTTAGTATTGGCAATCAGCTTAGCATCTTGACTCAAATTATACATATCCAAAATAGCAGTTTTGTTTAAATCTTGATCCTCTGAAAGCTTATCACTTTGTATGATTGAACCATTATGCGAATTTAATAAAACATATGCGTCTTTTAGAGACTTTCTCTTTCTAGTAAGCTCTTTTCCAACAATAAACGACGAATTTAAAACATTTTCAGGAGAAGTGATTTGATATTTCATTTTTAATTTATATTTGCTTGACCAAATGCTAGTTTGAATCACAACTGTTTGTTCTGTCTCTGCATTTCGCTTTCTTTTTCGTTCCTACAAATGTATAATAAAAATATGACGAATGTTTTGTTCTGATTATTAGAGTACCATATTATTTCTAAAGATGATCTAAATCTAATGTATAATTTTGTAACAGTTAAATCAACTACTTACGATTTTGTCTGGATTAAAATCATGAACCATTTTTAAAGTAGCTGGATCGCAATTACCGAGGGCTAGTTGTAAAGCGACGTCCACATCTAATTCCTTCCCAGCATATTGCAATTGGTCTTCAGTAATATTAGTAGGAGGTGGATTCAACCGTACTTGTTTTCTTTGTAACGGACAGAATACTAATTGATGCTTGAACGTTATATCGGCTAATATAAATGCGTCTCTATATTCCTGTGTCACGACTAGCGATTTCATATTGAGAACCGAGCCTATACGTGTTAATGCCTTAAAAGACATTGGGTTAACATAACTTAAAATCAGATAAGACAGGCACAGAATTTTTTCATAGTGTCAGAAATAAATTTTCTTTTACATGTATATAAAATTTTAAATTGTTTTTCTTGCTGTTAAAGTTAGAAAACTCTTTACTGTTAAGTTTGGTATAACAACTAACTTTATGTATGTTGCCATCTGTATTTCTCGTAATAAATTTTCGTGCTTTTCCCAAGCCGATACCAGGAAGAGAAGGAAGATAGTCACAACCAGACAAAATACAAATATGACGGAACTTATCCATGTCAAATTGTTCAGGTCTCATATCCATTGCCAAATATAATCGGTCCTGCTCGATCAAAACTCCATTTCCATTAAAGTCCATTTTAAAAAATATCTACAATAAAACGGAGCAAAATACTTTTCATTAATACATAGAAAAGTAAGCTCATGTTTAAAATGTTTATCTAGTAGTTGGTATTGGTGTTGGTTTTTAAGAATTTTTAGAATATTTATGTCTAGCAAAAAAAATTATTATAATATTTATTCTTAGTACTATACATATTAACATTTAATGTCTCAATAACACATGTATTATTATTGTTTAAGTTTATCACGGTTTGACTTATAAGTTATAATTATCATACATAGTATATCATCTAGCAATTTCTTACAACAGATTTTTAGACAAATTTTAAATTTTTCCTTAGTAACAAATTGTTAAAGTATAGTATAGTATAGTAGTAATCGTTAAAGTCAATAATTCCCAAAATAAGACTAAATAAATAAAATCAAATTCTTCATTAACTTGCAGGCTTAGTTGCAAATATGTTTAAAATTAAAATTTACAATAAGTACATATAATAAATCCTTCATCCATCTTATTTGTTAGTAAAAGTACAAATGTATCAAAATTGTTATTAAAACAAATTATAACATAATAAATTCTTTTTATAATAAATATAGTATATAAATATATATAAATATATATATATATATATATATATATATATATACAAATATGTATATATATGTATATATATATTGTATATAACTTTTTTTTGACAGTTCTATTGCTAGATGTTATAGTCTTGGCTAAAATTATTAGGCATCCTCATGATCATTATGCTGTAATGAATTTAATAGATAAAGACTTCTATTGTTTAAAAATTGTTTAATAAATTAGATAAAAGAAAGTTGTTGAAGCTAAGCAATGTTTTATTTCTTTCAAAAATAAGTATTATTTTGAAAAAACTATTTTAATAGGGTATCTAATAATTTTGGCTAAGGCTGTATGATAATCATAATTATGTATTTAAAAAAATTGCAATTTTTCAACGTTTTAGAACATTCTGAACACGTTCAGAAAAACAAAAAAAAATTTTTTTTTACGAAAACAAAGCTTCCTCTATGAGGAAACAAAAATAATTAAAATTACATCATTATTAAAAAGCAACAGAAAATAAAATCCAAGTTTATCAAAGAATTAAGTAAGAACATAGTACGAGAAAATACAATATACTAACTTTCTTACATCCAAATAATGTCAAGTCGCTATCTTCTGTGATAACAACATCAGCTATACCATTGATATTTAAATACGCTAATTGCGCATCAGCTTCATAAGGAGCTGTAATGCAATCAATGTTCTCGTTCTGGCAATGTTTGATTAATTCTAATGCTATTTCATGAGTAATATCTATGGCACGTTTCAACAAATTTGTTCCCTCTGTGACTTGACCCATTTGTATTAGTTCAATCGCCTTACGACGATTTATTTGTCTAGATCTATGAAAAAAATACAGTTGTATATATTAGGCCTGTTCATTTTCGCTGCACTTCTGAACTGCAATAAGTTAGAATGAAAGAAAATTCATTTGTTTCATTCTAACTTATTGCACTAGTTCAGAAGTGCAGGGGAAATGAACAGGCCTATAGATTTATTTCAGAATTTGTAGCAATCCTGTATCAATTTTTATTGAATTTGAAGCAGTTTTCAAATAGAATAATCCCGACTTGATTTTTCAAATTCACGATATTTAAACAGGTCTCTTTATACGTACTCCCGTCTCTTGATTTCTGTTTGCTCTTTAGCAGGCAATCGTCGGCCATCAAACACCAAGATGGGTTTTATCTTATATTTTAAAAGCATGTTTATATACTTCATACAATATAAAACATACCTACGATGTAAAAGAAAAGTTATTAATTACTCAGAATCATAAAAGAGAATGTTAACATCCGTAAATAAGTATAATCATTACTTACGCGTTCGTTGTTTGTCCCATCATTAATTTCTCAGCACAGGAAAATACACCTTTGTGTAACCAACAATAAGAATCGATTGCAACAGTACCACCAGAAAATTCTTTGATATTTGTCCTTCTAGAAGATTTCTCTAGGAATGGTAGCAACCCGGTGATACCCATATTTACAAAAATTAATCTCTGTCGCAGTTTATAACAATTAAATCCAACACAAGATCAAATATCTTCCGTATGGCGTATACACATAACACACCACACACTAATTGCCGCCAGATTTGCAGACATTGCGCATGTCACTAATGTAAACGAAGTATATACCATAAATTATATAACGTATAGATTGCTCTCGTGAGCGTAAAGGCCGGAACACAATACAAAGGCCTAGTTTACACCGATCTCTTGATACGCGTATCGAATAGTATATTTGACCTGCGTTCGGGGAGCGCACTATTAGCGCGATTTGCTTATGCTAATGCTAAGACTCTATGGTCTAGTTTACATCGATCACTTGATACGCGTATTAAATAGTAAATAACTAGTAAATAAGTCTGATTATTGGCTGATCAGTTCAAATATACTATTTGATACGCGTATCAAGAGATCGGTGTAAACTAGGCCTATAGACGCGGAAACGCCGTGTGGCAGAGTGCGTTGACCAATCACAAATTTTGATTTTGCCGCAGGCGACTTGCGGCAGCCTTCTGATTGGTCAACGCACTCTACCGCACGGCGTTTCCGCGTCTAAAGGTGAAATTTCATGGGCAGTGAAAAGCAGCAGCAGATTGTACTGATTGGTTATAAAATAGAGAAGTTCTCGAGTTCCTAGAACTTCTCTATTTTGTAGCCAATCAGTACGATCTGCTGCTACTTTTCACTGCCCATGAAATTTCACCTTAAGACTCCGTAGACGCGGAAACGCCATGCGGCAGAGTGCGTTGACCAATCACAAATTTTGATTTTGCCGCAGGCGACTTGCGGCAGCCTTCTGATTGGTCAACGCACTCTACCGCACGGCGTTTCCGCGTCTATGGAGTCTTAGCATTATTCTATCCTTGTTCTACACTTGATGAGCGATAAAAATAGAATGATGCAATAGCGCTAATAGCTGAGCAGGGGATCGATCATGTATCTTTTCCCCTACGACGGAAACGTGAAAAGGTAGAAAATTGACCAATCACAGTCAATTATTCTCCTCAAATTCAACTATGATTGAACAATTTCTTAAGGGTCGACAGGAGTAAAGGCTGATTTATAGAGGCCGTAACCATTGATTTAAGCCGTAATCTTTAAGAAATTGATCAATCACAGTCGAATGTGAGAAGAACAATCGACTGTGATTGGTCAATTTCTTAAAGATTACGGCTTAATGGCTCCTGCACACAGGACGCGGCAGCGCGGCATTGCGGCAACGCGGCACCGCGGTAACCAATCACCATCTGCCTTTCCGTACTACTTTCAAAAGTAGAACGGAAAGGCAAGACGGTAATTGGTTACCAGGGTTGGGAAGTAACTAGTTACTTGTAACTAGTTACCGTTACAAGTTACTTTTTTTGGTAACTTACTGGTAACTGCGTTACATTTTTCTTTTGGTAACTGTAACGGTAACTTAGTTACATTTTTTCGGTAACTGTAACTAATTTAAGTTACTTTAATACAGTTACTTTTATAGTTAAGGTAAGTTTACACACGCAATGATTAGTGGCGCCAACTGACTGGCATTCATTGGCGCCAAAAACGAATTTGTTTAATAATAAACGATTTCAAGAATAGGTACCCAGACCTATAAGAATAAGTACTCTGATCTATAGTGTATGTGTCGGATTTATCTCATCTTGGAATGGTGGAAAGGTATAAGGTATAAGGTCGCACTCAGAGGTGTAACTGATTGTGAGTACAATCTACGAAGAGAAATTTCCCACACAAGGTATAAGCTATACTATACCGATTGCTGTGTGGCGCAAGGGGAGTTATGTCACACACGGTGCCTCCCGGATATCGTGTGCCCTTCGAGAATACGAACCAAATTCCAGGCATTCGCGACTCTATCCGGATGAAATCGTGCGATCGCGGTATTTGTGGGACGAAAAATAGAATTTAGTTCCATTTTGTTCCAGAAATAACAATAAAGGCCCGCGCACAATGAAAAATATAAGGAACAAAGAAGATATTAGCGATTAGAAATAAGAAATCAGGAATAAAGCTGGTGTAGTATTAATACACGGCTTCCAATAAAATCTATTGCTTGTGTTATTCATTGTTTCTGTTGCCTGTATTTTTCATTGTGCATCCAACTTTATTCTTGATTCTTTAGTCCTAATCGCTAATATCTGTTCCTTGTTTTTTATATTTTTTATTGTGCGGAGGCCTTAACAATTGAAATAATTCAAACAAAGTCCTCCTAGGGAGCGAACGACTAGAGGAGTCCCCAGTTGCGGAATCGGGTCCAACTAAAACTCGAGTTCGCTATAGCAGCACTGCCAGACGTTGTTATAAAAAGCAGCTGCAGAGAGAAGGACAGGCTGAAAAAGCCCAAAGTCCTACTCTTCGGATACAAAGGACAAAGAGAGAAAGATATGGTCAACATGTGACACGTAAAAGCGTGTCTTTTTTTAAGCCACAATATTTCCAATCTGTCGGACAGTCACCCAGGCAAAAAGCCCAAGGTCACTGATCGAAGATTATGTTCTTGCGCCCAAGCGATTAAGATAAGAGCATAATCAAGATAGCCTTCTAGAACGAGGGCTAGATGTCGGTGAAGTGGATGTGATCAGAAAGCTGATCAGCAGATCCTTGAACTTCGAGAGTGCGCTAGTTCCCACCTTTATGAGAAATTCCTGAGAAAAAAATAGCGTAATCATCTTTATATAAATGCGCCAATGAACAATCAGCGGATTAGCTAAAAAGCCTATTTACCGAGATCAAAATCAGGAATATTCCTTTCGATGCATTGCCAGCCGATGAGCTACTCAAACACCATTGGTACATGTGGAAGAGCCTGATTTGTCGGTTGAGGAGACCGACAGATCTCCTGTCGAAGAAAAATAATAATCTTTCTTCGACAGACAAAACACAGGT